TGTTTGTTTTGTTTTGTGCTGAAGTTTGAATCCAGGGTTTCCCACATGGAAAGCCTGTCCTCTACTACTGAGCTACACTCTAGTCCTGAAGGACATCTTTAACTGGCCTGATCAAGTTTGGCTTAAATATGAGTTGGTTCAGGAGGACAAAATACAAAGTTAAATTTATCCAAAGGTGTTGTACTCTTTAACCAAGTAGGCAAAAAATATTCAGCCAAGGCTTTATAAAGATCTTCCAGAAAGAATTATTCTTGCCAATTGAGGATATATTTTTCTTTCCAACAATGTCAACAGCAATAAAATGGGTTCATCTCCTTCTTCCAATTCCTGCAAGACTGTCTATTTCTTATTAGCACATACAACAGGTTCTCACTTGGCAAATTATTTTCTGTCTTGAAAATAACTTCCTCTCTGCCTTCATTGTTACTAGTAGGTGGTCTTCTCAGAGATTATCAGGAAAATTATCTCCATTCCACCACACCCCTTTCAAAGGTGTTTTACTTATGAAATGGGGTGACTATGGAGCAAGGGAAACATACAGATTTAAGAAATCTCTGTCACTTTTCTGATCAGAGAGAGCCTCTGGGTTGTATTGAGGTTATCAGTTTTGGCCTAGGTCCAGAAGCTGGGCATAAACACATGTAAAAGTCATCTTGGGAAGATCATTTTGTATCTTTATCTTTAGGTCTATAAGATGATGGAATTACTGTAGCTGATCATAATATAAGGGGGTTTGTTATATGATGACCAAATATAGAAAATATAATAATATAAATAATATAGAAATATAATAGCTGCATGATATAAAAAAACTGAAGACCTAGGATTACCTCCTAGTTCATGTCTGTTTCATGCCATAATTATTAATAGAGCTCTCTCCAATCTCAAAAGCAACCCCATTTGAACAATAAAGTATATAGCCACCCTACATAAAGTACAAAATAAAGTGAGCAAAGCAATTGGGCATACAACCCACTCTGTCCTATTGCCTCACTTCTATCAATCACACTCATAAAAGCCATGTATGCTAACCAAATGCTGCATAACCATAATTATGATTTCCATTGGGAAGTGACCATTGATTAGGAAATGGAGCTCTTTTTATTGGAGAAGTGTAGGGCTAGCCAGAGGTTAATGGGGACAAAAACAGTCTGGCCTAGAATTCTTGATAGATTAATACTAATTTGTATGGTGGAAGTTAAGTGCTGTGTGGACTGCCAAAGGAAATGCAGAATGATTCTGGATAAACAGGAAGGTCAGAACAAGAACAGGGACAAACTATGCACAACTCCAGCTCACATTCTCAGGGGTGAAATGGCCCAAGTTCTTCAGCTCTTGACATCTCACCTAGGGTCATCCCCTGAGATAATGTGAAAAACATGTTTTTACACTACCATTGTCCTTGCTGTAACCTGGAAACAGAGTGAGAGTAAAAATATCTAGCATGAGGCATTGAGCAATGGAATGGATACTCGCTGTAAACAGCTGGTGTAACTGTACCAGTGTATTCTGACCAAGAGTGGCAGCCAACAAAGCCCAAGCCAGCCCCATCACTCACACACACTATTCACTTTGCTCCAGCTACTCTGGTTCTTTTCCAACCCAAGCCAAGCTTGCCCCACCTCTGAGAATGTTCCTGTTCCACAGCCTGTGCAGTCTTTTTCCAGGACCTGGAACACTTGAGACCTAACCTTTGTTAGGTCTCAGCACAAAAGTCAACACCTTTGAGTGGTCTTCCCAGACAACACTATGTAGAGAACCATCTTCCAGGGATACTCTATCAAGTACATCCCCATTCATTTCCCTTGTGTTCCACTGAACAACTATATGTTTCCTTTGCCATCCTCTCCTCTCTTTCTCCATGAGCACAGACTTGTTCTTGTTGGCCATTGTATCATCAGTGCTTAAAAGAGTGCCTGACACATAGAGTCTTGGTAGAGTGAGGAAGTGAGTGAATGTGTGTACAGAGGAATGGGAACCAAAATCCTCAGGGGAGGATACTTGCCCCCAAACTACCATATTAACATCACCCTAATGGAGACAAAAAGACATGAGCAAATGAGAAAGAGCTGAAAGTCCTCTCTGCTGGCTACTCAGCACAAGTCCAGTGCTGGGAAATGAAAAAGGGTCAACTTCTTCCCAAGACACTCGGGCCATGGATAATAAACTGCATAAGGTCCAGCATAGACTTGTCCCCAGTCCCCAGCTCTCTTAGTCTCCATTTCTATAACAAAGTAAGATGTTGAGGAGGGGCAGGTTGAGTCAATTACCAAGCAATGAATGGAAAAGGACTTAGAGAGGAAAGGGGAGGGGAGGAAAGATTTTAAGAGGTTGGGAGGTGGAGAGGGCAGTGTCCTGAATCCTGCTCTGTCATCTATTCTGAACACATTTGCTATTCTACTCATCCTGCACACCACGCTGCGTGGGCAGACATTGTCTATAACTGAGGAAGTTACTTAATCCCTTCGAACTTCAGTTTTCTCATCTGGAAAATGATAATAGGGAACGCCCTCTCTAGATACTGGGAAATGCAAAGGGCTTAAAACATGAGCAAGCACATTAAAAAAGAAAAAATTACTACCAAGCACAATAGTTTGGTGGCTTCAAGTAGTGCAAATAATGATGAAGAAAACTTTCAAAAGACAAAAGCTGTGATTCATCAAGTCACACTAAGACTCCCTCGCTGCTTCAGAAGTTGAATACCTACAGAAATGAGAAACAGCTATCATCTCTTTCCCTTGAGATTAAAACAAAAGATATTCTATCTTTTTTCAAGGATTTACAAAGGAAAAATTAAAGTAATAATACCTCAGCAAGGCTGGGTAACAGAACTAGGGTTAATGTAAATTAATGAGGGTTAATGGTGTATCACCCACTCATGTTTTCAGAATGAATCACCAAATAGTTGTGATATTGGAGGTCAATAAGGCAGGAGTTTCCAACTATCCAGTTTACTTAGAAACTTATTTCTTAATGAACCCAGGCCCTGGGTTCAATCACCAGTACCCTCCAACACCCCCCCCCCCCAAAAAAAAAAAGAAACTTATTTCTTAAAAACTGACAGAACTTTTCAGGGATACTGTTTGAAATACCCCTTAAGCTCTACCTTTTAATGTCAAGCCACAATAGTGAATGCTCCAAGTACCAGAGTCACACCTGATGATAATTATTATAAACAGCCTATGAAATCTACGGTGCAATTTTGATCTTTGATTTGGAGGTAGTATTATGAACTGAATTGTTTCTAATACAGGAGATATTATGAGAGAACTTCATGACCTTTCCAACACATTTGAATTTTAGTTCTTAAATGTGAGTAATAGAAGATGAAACTTTCCCCAAATTTTAACACAATCTACTTATGTATACCTAGAGAATTCCTAAGATGGGTTTATTTTTAATCTATGCTTTCAGATGTGCTCGTTCATGAATTAGCATGCAATGGAGTAAACAAAAATTTCAAACATTTAATCTGGTACTTTAATTATATGGGAACTGCATCCTAGAAATATATACCATCTTCATATGACAGTATGATAAATTTGTGAGTTACATGTGTTTGAAAAATATTGTGGCATAAACATAAAGCCACTAACAATGTGGCTATCGCCTGTGGGGGTTTATGAGTACATTCAGCATTGTGTGTGTGCATGAGCATAATCCCTGGTTCAGAACCCCATGCCCCCAAGGTTCCTGTAAGCTTGTGGCTACAGGTTCATACAGTTTCTCAGGGCTGGGAACCCCAGGTTAGAATCACCAATGCTTTCACTTTTAGCGCTTACCTTATTTAGCTCATAATGGTAGGTTCTGCGTTTGAGTCTTTGGGCATAACTTTGCCTATAGGTAAATGTAACACTTGACTAACCAATCCCTGAATTCTCACTCAACTGTGGTCACTGGTGAGCCCTGTGACCAGTGAGCCCCGTGACTGATGTCTGGGCCAGAAAATGCTTCTACAGGCTCCCTTGCCAGGGTGTGTGCAGAAAGCACCTTTCCTGAGTCTGAGGGATAAGGATTTTCCACCTTTTGCTTCTGGAAAGCTTTTCATGTGCATTCCTTCTGTAGGATACAGAGGACATGTTTATAAGGACAGAGGAAAAAGCAAACTGAATACAGGAACACACTCTAGAGTTAACATTAGGCCAAACCAATGTTTGCAATCCCAGTATTCATTCTAACCATCCTAATGTTTCAACATCATTATGTAACTTTCATAAAGTTAGAGGGAGGCTACTTTGTTTCCTAGTTACCCATATTTTATGTAGAATCTTAAAACTAATATGTTTAGTCTAATACACTTGAAGGTTTTAACTTTGTAGTAAATGATAACTAGTCTGTTTGACATCTTTTTCATTTTATTTTACTGTTTCAAACAGTTACTAATATCTATTTTTCCATTATAAAAATAAAAATATATACCCATATAGGAAATGTAGAAAATAATACAAAAGCATTATTTTGAGTCAGTATTTTAGCCACTGTGACCAAAAGACCCTACAAGAACAAATTTAGAGGTGGAAAATTTATTTGGGGGCTCACGGTTTTAGAGGTCTCAGTCCATAGACAGCAGGCTCCATTGTTCTGGACCTGAGATGAGGCAGCACATCATGGAGGAAGAGTGTGGCACAGGAAAGCAGGTTAGGACATAGCAACAGGAAGCAGAGAGAGCAGTCTCCACTACAGCAAAATATAAATCCCAAAGGCATACCACCAGGCAACTACCTCCTTCAGCCACACCCTGCCAACCTACCCTACCACCTAGCTAATCCCTATCAGGATTAATGCACTGATTGGGTTATGAGAACATCACCTAATCAGTGCACCTCTAAACCTTCTTGGGTTGTCTCACATGTGAGTTTTTGGGGGAACACCTCATATCTAAATCATAACAAGCATAAAAGTTAAAAAAAAAAAAACAGAATTCCACTAACCTGAGTTGCATGCATTGTATAATAATGCATTCTTCCCTTTTTTTTCCCCTCCCTTTTATTTGAAATTAGACAAGAAGTCATTTACCCTCTTGTGCTGATGAAGAAGTCACAAGAGCAAACCTCACAGGACTCTGCCTCTGGAAAAGGGGGGAAATTCTTATAATATATTTTGAACATCTCCTGTGCACTTGGAATTATTCTGTATGCTGAGAACACAGAGATAAAGAACCCAGTTCCTGTTCCATTGACTGGAGGAGGTGAGAACTAAATGAGTGCTACATAACATAAAGAGCCCTCTACAGAGGGAAGCCCAGGAAAGGAGATCTGGGAAACCGCTCTGAAGGGGATGGCATTGGCCTTGAGTCACCAACAACTAGGAGAATCTGGTTAGGCAGTTAACAATGTGATTCCACACAGCAGGCAACAAACCTCAAAGTCATGGTATGAGGCAGCTTAAGGGGATATTCAGCTAAAGACATAGTCAACTCAGTAACTTTCTCCTAAGGTTTTGAGATATCAGATTTTTCTGATCTGGAACACTCTGTATCAAAAGTTGAAGTTCAGGTATCAACGTTGACCTTGTGGATCTGAAGCTATCACCTATGGATTTTCTTTATCTTTGGCTTGAACCAATGGTCTTTCACAATAGCCGTTGTCCAGTTTGTTTGAAGACATATAATAAATGCCAACTTAGAAAGCAATCTTGATCAAGTTTCTTTTCTTTTTCATTGTCTTTTTTTTTCTTTTAGTTGAAATTTACCAGCGTAATCATCCAAAGAGGTAATATTCACCTAGTGAGAAAGCACAGGTTCCTAAATCACCACTCTAATCAAAGGTCGTATTCAGTCAAGAGAATAGTGTACATGCCCTCTAACATATTGTGGATTTATTCCTTTATTTATGTCTGTATAATCTCTTTGCCACTAGCCTCCTGATCAGGACTGTATTGAATACTAATACTGCTAATGAAAACTATGGCTACCAGGATGTGTTAGAGCAGGGAAGGCAAACAGGTTCCATTTCACATGCCAGATCCTACTATTTGAAGCAACCACCTGCCCCAATGCTCAGCAAACTTTTCCATAAAGGGTAAGATAGTAAATATTTTGAGATTTGCATACCATATGATCTCTATGACAACTACTCAACTCTGGCTATTATAGTAAAAAAGCAACCATAGATAATATATAAACAAATACGTGTGTCTCAATAAAACTTTATTTACAAAAACAGACTGTGGGTCAGATGTGGTTTGCTGACTCCTGGCCTAACAGTACTGAGTAGAGAAGGACCTAAGGCTGCATCTCAGCTAAGTGGGAAGGTTAAGGGCACAAACTTGGAATCTCTGTGTTAGATTAACTCAATCCCACAAAGTGGGAAGTGAATTAGCTGCCATGAGAGCAGGTTGTTATCATGAAAGCAACTGAGGCTGGCAACTCCCCTCACTCTTTCTCCCACTCATGTTCCGTCTGCGAATGCCTGCTTCCCCTTTTTTCTTCTCTCCCATGATATGACACAACATATGACCCTCCACCAGAAGCCAAGACACCATCACCTTCCCAGACTCCAGAACCATTAGCCAAAATAAACCTCTTTTCTTCAAAAATTACCTATTCCCAGGTGTTTTGTTATAGCAGCAACCGAAAATGGACTATGACACTGTTCTTGGTGACAAACAGCATAATTTGCTTGGGCTAGTTTATGCTTCAAAGACAAAAATCACAGAATTGGGCTCAACATTCTAACTGAGGAGCTAGGAGCTCCATTACAGACCCCTTAGGAACTAGATCCCTTCATCACGACACCATCTCCTGTTGCTTATTTCTGTGTTCAAATTTCAATCCTGCGCATCTGAATGATAAAGTTTAGTTTATATATCTGTTCGCCCAGCTGAAAGAGAGCCTGACATATCTAGGTCTTGGACTCTACCTTCAGAAAACAATATTCAATGTGTGGGAAATCATCAAAATTTAGATATGGCACACAAATGATGCTGGACAGCCATGCATGACACAAGTCCACATAGCCCAATCTGGATTTCTTCCTCATATAATCAGTGATCCTACTGTTCTGCCCAACTACTTGATATATAACGTGATGTTTGGTAATCGTAACTTACGTGTTTAACTCCTAAAGTAGGAGGAAATATTTTACTTTGACATAATTCATTATTTAAAAACTCCCCAGGATTCTAACCTACCTGCAAGCAGCTGCTGAAATACATAATAAATGTATGGCTTAAAACCTAATTTTACCAGTGAATTCTTTACTCATAATTCATTACTTAATTTTCATCTCACCTTTAAAACAAAAGTATCACCCTAAACTAAGGGGTAGGGAAAATATAATTATGTTAGTAACAACATTATACTTTTCCTATATACAGAAAACCAACTGATGACATTTTGTCCTTCTTTCAATTGCTTATTTTTCTTTATTTTCTAAAACAAAGCAGGCCAGGGGCCCTGGCCCTTGGTGTGTCCCCTTGACCAGTCTTGGAAAGTGTCCTTTACACCTTGACAGCTTTATCCCCTGCAGTCAGCCTTTTCCGCAAACCAGGCGGGCACATGATTGGCAGCCAGTGTGTCGGGTCCTTGCACGACTTTATTGCTGTTCTCATCTTTGTCTACAAAGGAGGAGGCTCTTTTATGGTTGTGGAGATAATTGATTCACTAGACTTTCCTCGGGTCTTTCAAAAAGCTTCTCACCTTATAGCTTATTACAACGGTAAGCTTACCTTGCAATTCAAGCAGTAGGGTAATTTTCCAGGCTTGCTGAAGGCTTCCCTTCTCTCGCTTTTCAATATGGACTTCTCTCGGTATTCCCTGCACAGAGGAATCTCCATTCCTGACTACTGCAGGAATTACAACTTTTGCTATTAAAATCCATCATATTTGCCTCCTTCTGAGTGTTCTTCTGTAGCACATCTCCTCCGATCCAGAAATCCACTACTGACATTGTTTAAAGGAAAGAAAAATGTAAAACACATATCTGCTCTTCCCAGTCAACTTTTCATATCCATAAATATTGTTCCTTTTTTTTAAAAAAAAAAAATACCTACAAAGTTGATTCCTAATCATATCTGTCTTGTTCATTACTATTTCTCAAGCCAGAGCTTGACCAGTCCCATAGGAATCCACAATAAATACTTGTTGGATTAATAAATAATTGAAATAATAAATCCTAAATATATATGTTCATTGTATCAGATTGTTCTTCTGAGTCTTTGTGTTTATGGCTTAAACACCCATAATATGTAGCATAAAATAAAAATATCATGGCAACACAAATGGAAATTGTCATCAATATCTTTCTTAAATCAAGAGCAACAGAAAATTGTTCACCAAAGCTCTAATTACTTTGGTTAGAACATTATATTTATAATATATCCATTACCTGTACCATATCCATATAAGTGAATGAAACAAAAAAAGTCAATAGTGCTTAGGCAGGTTCCTCCTCTCCTTTAGTCCATTAAGCTAAGGTAGCCAGAATTCTTAGATAATAAATCACTCTCTGGTCACATTTGAGCCATTGGATATGGGATATGGATTGTTCATTTCATTTCACAATTTACAATATGATATCTATGCCTAGATTATTGATGGGAGTTCGTAGATAAGTTCCAGAGTGTTAATACACAAATTTTGTCTGTATGTGCAAAATATACCAACCGGGAAAGAATCCATAGCTTTAATAGCACTTCTCAAATAAGTTAGTGACCAAAACAGTCCCAGCCTAAATATGGTGGAATATAACTTTCCCTGGTTTTTCTGTTTCATGTGACCTAATCCAGATAGTTGAAAGAAATTGCTAGTAGATTTCTACCTTGACAGCTTTCTGGGAATTCTCTGCAGCATCACAGACTCAAAATGTTAATTAATTTAAAGTACTCACCAAAAACTGCCCCATGGAAAACCATGGGCAAGAAATAATGAATCCAAGTTGGCCAGATGTTTTAAAAAGAAAAGATCATACTGAGGTTTAATGTTTAATCTATACATAAAATTTCTGCCCAAAGTGCCAAACTTTTTTGGGTGGTCCACACCCTACCCAAGCTGTGGGATCATGAAAGTTAAAAAACTACATCAGGAGGGTCTACAGCAAGAGGCATAACATGGCATTCATGGGGCCTATATTATAATTCATGCAGATGGTACAGAACGTTGCTAAAGAAACTGCTGAAAATCAAATGACTCTCCAAAGACAAGAAAAAAAAATTATGCCTTTGTGAAAACCCAAGTGATATAGGAGAACTGATCTCCAGAAAACAAAAGCAAGTAGGCCATAGTAAGAAATGACAGTCCTAAGTAATATAGGTCAACTCTTCTACTAACACTCACACACACACACACACACACACACACACACACAAACTGAACCCTTTCTGGTTTATGAGTGATGCAAAGTTCTCTTTTTGCAATCCACACGTGTTGCAGATTGTCCTTGTCTTACTCTTTTCTGACCAAGGATAAGAGGAAATGCTTCTCCCATCCCTCACCAAACACACAGCTTCCAAGGAAGGCATTTGCTTGGGCTGGAATTGGAAGCTATTTCTTTCATAATGTGCCAGGCCACAAGGTGTTTCTAAGAAATATACTATATATATATAAAGATTGGAGAATTCAGAACCAGCTTCTAATTTTTTTACACTAAAACAATAGGAAAGAAATCACCCATGATTTTTACTGTCTGTCAGTATATATATAACATGATTCCTTCAAACACTAAAATAATAATAATAATAATAATAATAATAATAATAATGTCTTTTTCTTCCTAAAAACTCTGAAAGCTAAATACAAAACCTAGTATCTCTATTAGCAAAAAACCTAGGTGTCACCTTGGAACGTAGACAGCAAGGTCTGAAGAGAATAGGTTGTAATGCAGTTACATTTTGATTTATAGGAGAGAAGGAATCTAGGGAAAAAAATGGAGAAGGTAGATATTTTAGTCAGATTTTTCACTGCTGTGACTAAAAGATCTGCCCAGAACAACTTTAGGGGAGAAAAGTTTATTTGAGGGCTCACAGTTTCAGAGGTCTTAGTCCATAGAAGCTGGCTGCATTCCTGGGGGCTCTAGGTGAGGCAGAACATCATGGCAGAAGAGCAGAGGGAACCAGCTCACATAAGGTTCAGAAAGCAGAGAGAAAGAAAGAGAGAGGGAAACTCTACTTGCCAGATACAAATATATACCCCATAGCCACACCCCTAATGCCACGCCTCCTCCAGCCACACCCCACTTGCCTTCAGTTACCACTCAATTAATCCCATCAGAGGATTAATTTACTGCTTGGGTTAAGGTTCTGGTAACCCAGAGGGTCTTAACTAGGGAGGTGCAAAGTAGTATTTGGATAATTAGCTCAAAGCATGCATTGGGTAAAATAACTTTTTGCATTTTTAATTAGCCAGAATATTGCCTCAAATTTCTATTTCAGGATACAAGGATAGACCTGGGCGAAGCTATTTACTGGTGAGAGTTGAGGTTGGGAGAAAGTAGCAGGTGGGGCAAGTGCATCGAGAGTGAACTCAGAATAGGAAAGTTTATAATAACTTTAAACAATCATTCTGCATAACAACACCAGGAATATAATTTTATAAATGGAAAATTTCTTAACAGCCATAAAATTCAGGAAAAATAATAAAGATGAGTATTAAAAAATAAAGCTA